AATTCTACCATAATAGAACACATCACAACTATTTAATTGAACACCACATTGTACACAAGTGTTCTTAACGACAATTACAGCATTCTTACCTTGAACGGTATGTATTTGCCTCTTGAACGCAATTTGGGATGCCTACTAGTTTGAGCTCTGGTGGGCTTGCAATGCTGTTCAGTGAACAACTTCATTGCATCCAACACTGCATGAAAATGTCGAGAAACCGTTTCTCCCGAGTGCTGAAACTGCTCTTGAATGCTTCGATTTTGGTAGCCGGCCAAGGTATGTATGAACATGGCAACACTTTCTTCAATGTGTAATCCATGAGGTCTTTTAGGTACCCGTAAACCAAAATCTCGTCGTAATGTATGACATAACGCTTTAAACACATATAGAGGCATATGCAAATTTTCTTCACCCCTACCCAAGTGTCCATCAAATAATTCTTGAATCCATGCATGACCGACTAAAATTGAAGTTCGACATGGGATCTTCTCCATGTACTTTACGTAATATTCCATTGTATGTCGCGCTGCTTCAACGGTTACATCATTCTGTTGGTCCTCTTGATCTTCTGCTTGCTCGATTATGTAATCATCATTATTTCGATACAGATTGCTACATTCACCATTCCACATATCAACAGTGTTGAACCCTACAATGCACACTTCACAAGATTAATTACGTTGACCACGTAGTGTTATCATATTGCATAAACTACTGCACAAAATAGTAGACAGGAAACACCTATGCATACATCCACATTTTCCTAGAAACCATAAAGAGGAATGCAGTCAATGAAATTGAACAATTGTAGTTAGGAATGCTGGTATAGTCAACACAAACCACGCATCAATGAAGCAATACTGCATAAAATGTTGGACATTACGTCCGCATCCATTCACCCAAAACATTAATATTAACTAACAGTACTGATAAGTGAAGCTAGCCAAAAGCAAAAATTAAAAAAAAAAAAAACAGCACCAGTCATGTCCACAAACATCCACAATTGTTTCCATTATCCCCATAGTTCTCACAGTCCTTTGGAGGCCTTCAATGTCGTAAGCCAACCGACCACATTACCATCATCAGGCATGCACATTAGTATCTCACGGTAATCTGCATTCTCCAAAGCAATGCAGGCAAAGTGGAAAAGAGGCGTATTGAGAAAGTCGGGTATAACCATTATCCTCTGCATGCATGCCTCAATGCCATACTTCTGAGACGCACCAGTTCCATGCCTGATCGTAAGGTGCTTCTGTGAACGAACAGCCTCGGAGAGATGGTTGAAACTGTTTGCAAGCACTGATGCGCCAGTGGACGGCTTCTTCGACTTTCCACTTGAACTCGCCCCCTTCTTGCGCTTTGACCCTGGCTCCGCTTCATCTACCTGGACAATGGGGGAGGGTGGTGGTGAGTCCACAACCGGTTCATATGGCGCAGTAAATGGCTGTAACCCAGGTGAGTCAGCAGAATCAGATTCACCGTCAGCAATGTCCACAACTTGCTCGCCGGGGGTCCAATGATGCTTCCCAGTCGCAGTTGCATGCATCAAATCTTCATGTTCCAATAGCTTTGTCTTGAATTTGTACGCTGGCTTGTTTGTCTGCAAATGAGAAAAATAACAATTAGAATCCCAAATTAAAGTTGTAAAGTAACAAACAACCAAATAAATTACGAATATGAATTGAACAATAAAGTACAAGTATATATATTCCAATACATACTGATTTCAAATTTTCCCACCATTTGTCTGACGTGGTGAACAACCCGGTTGACCTGTCGAACCCAATCCCAGTTACACCCTTACTGGTGTCCATCAATTTATTCCAAGCCTGCCACTCTTTCTTCAAATCAAGGTACTTGTTCTTGAACTGTTTCATGTCATGACATCTGCCTGTGCGCTGAGCAAATTGCACCGAAATTTCCTTATACCTGGCAACTGAGATAGTTGTACCTAGCCTACGTCCCGCTAAAATTTGCTCCCGCACACACTCTAAGAAAATTTCGGTTGATACACTGTCCCAAGTTGCTTTATGTGAAAGATCAATGTAATCAGGCAACCCTTCAGTAGGCAAATGTCTAACACCTTTATGTTTCGACGATGTTCGAGGGGAGGAGCGTGTTGCCGCCATTGAACTAATTACGGTAGAAGGTAGTGTACACATTTTACACAAATAAATTAGAAACGGAAAATAGACAACATGTCAGAGGCACATATGATATGCAAAATTAAACTGGAATGTAGGTGAAAAGTAGAACATAACTAAAAATAGAAAGTTGCATTTACAGTAGTCCAGTTTTGTTACTTCAGTTACTAGTTAGACAAGCATCCAACGTACATACGCGATGTTGTTACAACGTTTTACATGCGCAGTAATAATATGATAACCGTTATGCACAACACAGAAATAATCGTTTTCATGACACGCAAGGTATTAAAAATTTGCACGATGTCAGCCCGTAACTGCATGACTTCGGTTGGGGATGAGTCATGGTCGGGGCTCGGTCTCCTTGATTCATCACACCAACCAATCCAATTTACACATTGCTGATGAGCAATAAACATAACTGTGGTTAGCTAATGAAGTTCAATTTTGCCAATAAATGGAGATTCAAATAACATATTTTACACAACTCACCACAGGCCGAGGACAAACATAATATGCACGACCAGGATTTTTGTGGGATCTGGAAATCTTAACAAAACAATGGCCATAGCCGCAAGCACACATGCGTCGTGGCCCTGTTGACGTGCTAGTGGACATAGACGAAGCCATCCGCTGTTTCTTACTAACAAATATTTAGTAAAAATAGTGATTTTTAGAATTTACGAATACACTTTACAGATAAAACAGGTTCATCTTTAGTATAAATAATACTGATCTGATGTGATTCTATCTCAACAAACATGCGTCATCTAAAGTTTGGCGTGACCACATCTTAGAAAAGTTGGATCATAGAAGGACTGAAGGCAAACTTCTTCCTTAATATGTTAGGCTTGTTCGAATCAAGTGGGGAGAAGGTATTGGCTTTCAGCCATCGTCTCCAACCGCTTAAGTTGTTGGTAAGGCTAGCCATGAAAGTGAAGGGTTCGACTCTGGAAAAAGAATTGGGTGTGGGGAACGAATAGCTCTCTACAAAATTTGAAAATCGTCATCCTCATTTCAACTCTTTCAATTGGCTTTCCGAAACTACAAATGTAGTCTAAGAACATGAACTGGGCCATGGAAATTGGTGCATTACCAATTCTAATAACACATTTTTTCATGTCTTGGTTTTCACTAAACAAAATAATTTCATGTCTTCGCTTTACCAATTGTAATAAAAAAATTTTCCCTCATCCAAATGAATACGTAAAGCGTACAAGGCCAACACCAAAATAGAACACTCAAAACAAGACATAACAACCCAATTTCCACTGATTATTATTAGTATTTTGTTCTTGTTTTTAATAAATAAGGCAGCCAGTATATAAGAAAGTCCATGGAAAAACTGAGTTAGTATAAGAACTTAATTCAATAGTCTTATCCCAATTCTCTAACCCTACCACTTGCTGGAGTAAATTTAGCAAAGGTGACCAAGTTCAGAGCATTGCAGTGTAGAAGAACTAACACATGTGGAATATGCATAATTCAGAGAAGTGAACTTAGTATTGAAAATGAGATTGATAACTGAATGGAAACCGTTAACTGAATATTCTTAATATTTATCATTCTATTTACAATTCATCTTAATTAATAAACAATATGTACAAGGAACTATAACCAGCATTTTTCCCAGCATGTAGCTCTTGTGCTTAAATTAATATCTCACAAGTCTAATCTACTTTCATCAAAATTACAAGAAGATAACAAGGTTTAGGCATTTTGCAAATTCAAAACTATGGTGGTGAATCTATTTACTTTAACATCTTGATATATGGTGGTGAACTATAACCAGCAAATTCATTATGCATTTTACAAGAAGATAATAAGGTTTAGGCATTTTGATAATAAGACAGTCATGATGAAATAGGTAAAATAATGAACAAAAATGACGAAATGAGGAAATCAGATTAAAATAATGAACAGAGCATTAAAGATTCCCAACATGTTGTTGTACCCTGAATTCAGATTAATTGATAGGCTTCACAGAAATTTTTTTTGCTCCATCTCATAAACACAGTTTGACAGAAAATTATTGAAAATTTTGGTCCATCTCATATATGATGCACAAACACAGATAGACAGATAAAAATGGGAAAAACACAGTGGATTGTGAGTGATAATAATGGAAATCAAGGGGGATTACATCATTCGGATGGGAAAAACAAGGGAAAAAACGGGAAAAACTGGGTTATGAATGATAATTATGGAAAAAATCGTTTTGAAAAAAAAAAAAAATCCAAACCTAAGCAACGATTACATCACTCCAAGTGTGAATGGTAATTATGGAAATCACGGGGGAAAAAACCTGGTAGCTCAACACAAAAAAAATGTTCACAAAAAAACCTTCGTCGTTCTGTGGAAGGCATTTAACTAAGGCGAGAAAAAAAAAATGTTGTCGGCGATTTATATTTGGGAAAAGACGGATTATCACCAGATCGGCATAAATACCAACCGAATACCATCACTATGGGTGAAAACAGAGGAAGATGTCGTAGATCGGAATGGAAAAAGTTTCAAACCGAGTCGACAAAGGTAACAAACCCATGTATAATCGGTTCAGGTGATTTACCTGTCGTAGTTCTTCGTCCGTCGTGTTCTGTGGAAGGCAGAGGTCCGCCGGAGAGAGATCAGTCGCGCACTGGTGTTGCTACAGTCGGTGTGAGAGACGGAACGAAAGAGATGAGAATAGGGCACTTGTGTTTCAGCTGTGTGTATAACCCACACCCTTGAAATAGTCAAAGGGCAAAATGGTAATTCCACTCCCTGTTTCTAACCTAGCTGTACCAGGCGTGAACTATTCACGCTTTTTGGCTGAAATTTGAATTGAGGCTATAATAGCCTAAACGTCATGTTCCCAAACAGCACCTAACACATACAATGTACCTACAGTTGCTGTGATTAGCTAAATTGTTATTTGGAGAGTGAAAATTGATATGGTAAGCGCTCAGTGCTGCGAGAATGCTCCGACCCTTCTCGCCTCAAGTTGTGGAGCAGGACATGTGGAGGACTTTGGAGGCCTCAAGACCTACATTTCTGGTTCCCCTCATTCAAAGCTTGGGATCCTTCTTGTCTCCGATGTTTATGGTACTTTCCCTATTACAATTTCTGTGTTTTTTCTTCCATATTTGATCTGACTACTTGTTCATCTGGTCTGCAATTGAGTCTTTTTCTTTAATTTCATTGCAATCGGTATTGGGTCATAGATTTATGATACATACATACCTCATGTTTGTTTGTATATAATTGTGCTTTTTTTAGTCCCAACCCACCCCAAACCAACTTGCCAAACGACAGCTTAGACTGTGTTTGGATCATTAAATTGGGTAGGAGGAGTAAGAGGAAATCCATGATCCAATTACAGCATTAAACTCCGTTTGGGTTTTTGTGAATTTGAAATTAAGGTATTTGAGGTTGAATGAATCGAAAAATAATGGAAGAAGATAAGCTATATATATGAAAAATGATTCATCCACATAATTTCTCTCCTCAAAGTCTCCAAATGAGGTGGCAAGCAAAATTAAAAAATTGATCTATACTCAAATATTCTTTCAAAATTCTCCTTATATGCATTCTATCTTGCCACCTCATTAGGGTATCGTGGGGAAGAAATTGTGTGGATGTAGTATATATGTATGTATATTAGTAGGATTGTTGTAACTATAAAGAGAATCCTTAGCATATACCAAATCCATCCTAATAAAATTATTTAACTCAAATTTGAAATTCATAATTTGGGTTATTATTGAATGATTAAGGTCTAATCCCTTGATTTCAAATTCACACAAGACTTTATATTTTTGGGAAATTTCTCCCCTTTTCTTGAATAACCAAACAAAAAATCATTTTCCTTATAATTTTAATGTACAGTGATCATCACTTTTGTCTGTCATTAATATCCTCATCATCATCACTTTCATGTCTAATTACATATATCATTTGATTCTGCAGGATATGAGGCTCCCAACTTGAGGTATTGTTAATTTTCAACTTGGTTTATACAATTCTTGATTGCAACTTTTGAAAAAACTACCCCTTTAAGAGGACTAGGTGAAAATCAACATTTAAGCTACCAATGTTGTTTTCATGGTTATTTTGGCACCAATTTTGAGAAATAATGTGCCAGAAAATGTGCAATTAGTTAAAATATATTGCTGATTTGTATGATTCTTGATGCTTGTTCTTTGTCAAGACGCACAAATACAGATATGTAACATGACACAAACACGTTGATATGACATGTGGGGAGCACAAGCAAAATATATAGTTTTATATGTTTATTTACATGTCATAGATAAAGATAAACACTTATTAGATATCATATATATGAACATATTCAAAGAAAATAACAAAATGCAATGTAACATTAATTTTTAAAGTCTAAATGAGAAGAAAATAATTAAATTTACATTGTTTTTATTTATGTATTTCTTATTATTGGATTTGTGGGAGCCGAATATCGGTAGATGCAGAGAGGTCGAGTACACACTTAGAAAATCAGGATATATATTATATTCGGCTCCGTCCTATACGATCCATAAGCCGAATAGTCTAATCGGCCATAGAACCAGTTGAACAAAAAGCCGAGTGGAAATTGGCATACGACAGAAGGGGCCGAATGAATAATCATGCGATGGATTAAGAGTGGGCTCGACCTTGGGGCCCAAAGGCGAATATAAATAGCGGAACATCAACCAAAGAAAGGTATGTGAGAACAGACTCAAAAAACTTAAGACTCAAGCAAACATGAGACCTATACTAACTTGTCTGTCGAAGTGCTAATTCCGGCACCCCCGACCGGAGTGTTAATTCCTTTTTCAGGTGGCAATCAGAGGATCAGGGACGCCCTTCTAGAACCAAGAGTATTTCCAAACCTACTCCTCCACAGGATTCAAAGTTGTTTTATCCAAATTTGTAATGTATTTCATGTGTGTTTGAGTGATAACCACATGTTTCCCAAATGTTTAAAGTATGTCCAAGTTTAAGTTTTTAAAAGAAAAATAGTGAAACATGTTTGGAGGTGTGTCAAACAAAGGTCGAGAAGTGTCCCATGAGTGTTGTGTCATGTCAGTGTCTAACACGACATGCCATCTCCTTAGTAGTGTTCGTAGTTCTTAGGGCATCTCCAATGGTTCACCAAAAATTTCATCAAATCTGAGTAAAAATATGACCAATTCATCTATTTGATATCAGCCACTCCAACGGTGAACTACTATAACTTTCATCAAAACACAGAATGTCCAGGGAGACGACCGGCCGGTTGACCGATAAGAGCAAAATGAAAAAATTTTTTTCTCCTCCATTTCTGTTTCCCTCAATTCCTTTGCCGTTTCTTTTTCCCTCCATAAATCTTTTCCATTTCTACCACTATTCCTGCACTTTACACTCCCTTCCTCTCCCCTTCCAGAGCACCTTCTCTTTGTTGGTGAGAATTCTGATCAGAAGAGCCAGCTGTCCCAATCAAATGGAAGGCATTTCCATCCAAATTAGCAACACTTCCATCTATACTCAATGAAGAGATAAAAGTCCTAGTGGATGACATGGTGGGGGTGCATGTTGAGCTATCAAAATTCAGATTGACACCGCTATTGCTCTGCCGACACAGCATTTCTGCTTGATGTTTCATCTGTTGCTACTGAAGCTGGATCCTTTGTTGATGATGTTGCTGAAGGAAATGATGGTAGTTAGTCTGTGGTGTTTGTTGAGCAAGTTGAAGAGGGTTTTTCTCATTTGAATTCGTCTCCAATGATGAGTTTCCCAATGTAAGGGTATTTTGAAATTTATCCTCAATCCTTGTTGAAATTTTAGGAATTTCGAAGAGCTATCACTCAATTAAATAAATACCCAGAAGATCAAATTCAACTACATATGCGAAAATCGGACCTCCCTCCCTCCACCACCATTTCACACATCCCACAATTCCATGTGCTTTGTTGTAGTGTTTGCTTGCTGCAATTCCCTTCAACTTCAGGAAAAAAGGAAAAATGGTTGGGGTATGGTGAAGAAAACAAAACCCAGAAAGAAAGGTAATCCTACAAGGTTGACTATATATATATATATATATATCTGGGATTCTTGACAATGGGGATCAATTAGTTATGATAATAATGTATTTGAAGATAGTAGGCATTTATTCTCTTATGTAATTGATTGTGTTGTATTGTCTGATAAGAATTTTGGGAAATCAAGGTCGTTGCAAAATAAGATGAGGTATGAACTAAATGCAAAATATATAACATACGAGTTATTTATATGTTGGATTTGCATTCTGAGTTCTTTTGCATTATGAGTTCTCTTGTTTTTAGCTACAATCCTATATCATCGGGGTCAACCGGGCGGTCGACCTAGAGGTCAACTGGTCAATGTAAATTTTTCACAAATTTTGCATTGAGGTGGCCATCCGGAGGGACATTCGGCCGGTCATCTGACGGGTCAACACTCAACGGCTATGCATAGTAAATTGTTGAAAGGTGCAAGACATCCTCAATTTGGTGAAACATTTGTTATATTCTCAATTTGATACAGGTTTGATGAAACCGTTAGAGTACAAAAAAAAAGGAGCTTCTTCACCAAATTTGAATTTGGTGATGGATTTGGTGCAATGCTGGAGATGGCCTTAGTTCATAAAATTTAAATGACCTCTTTATTCATTTTTGGAAAGATAATTTTGTCCTTTGGTGGTTGTGTATGGAACAGCATTATGTCAGTGACGGCTAGCCTTATTAGCATGTACAGCCATTCTTACAAATAGTTTTATTCACTTCTGGAAACTAATCAAAAGCTTTCCACCGATATAGGAAGCTTGCTGACAAAGTTGCAGCTGTTGGATTCTTTGTGGTTGTTCCAGACTTCTTCCATGGAGAACCCCTTATACCTAACAATCCTGATAGGCCTTTCCAAGCTTGGATAAAGGATCATTCAGCGGTTAGTTATCATTTGAGTAATACACATCTTTTAGTTGCAACTAATTTCTATTTGGAATCAAATTTTCACCGTAGAACTTGGCATTTGTTATGAACTCAACATTTTTTTTTTCTTTATGGCCTATTGTAATTCTCAATTGCACCATCAATATGTTTCCTGCTGGAACCTCAACTGTTAATTATGGCTTCCCATTTTCTGACCTAAGGTCGAAATCAAGGAGGAGGAGGAGGAGGAGGATTTTAGGTTTAGACCCTGATAGAGTTTCTATTGATTGGTAGTGCCAAAATATAATATCTGAAACCTTTTTTTTTTGCCCGTTACAGGAAAAAGCATCTGAAGATGCAAAACCAGTGATTGAAGCTCTAAAAAAGAAGGGTGTATCCAAAATTGGAGTTGCAGCCTTCTGTTGGGGTGGTGAGATATTATGTGGAAAATGTTCTCTTGTATATACTGTTTAATAGCGCATTCAACATCTGCAGCTAGATTTGAATATTTTCAATGGTGTTTTTTTTTTTTTTTTTTTTTTTTAAATTTATAAATATTATTGTTGGCTAAGACTCAAACTCGAATTCTTATCAGCCAAGGTTGCTGTGATACTAGCCAAGCATGCTTGTATCAATGCCGCAGTGCTGTTACATCCATCATTTGTTACATTGGATGACATCCAGGGTATGAATTCCATTACACTGCCATTCCCAAAGCTATATTCTTGTTTCATTACGTTAGATCAAGAATTTTCAAATTGGCATTTTGAGGTGGGTCATAAATGATTTTGTTGGTTTATGGATCATTGGTAATTGGTGTGATTTTCAGGGGTTGAGGTTCCAATTTCAATACTGGGAGCTGAAATTGACCAACTTTCTCCACCAGAACTCTTGGAACAATTTGATCAGGTCTTGAAGGCTAAAAATGAGGTATGAATCTCAAAAAATTCAGCAATTAATGTTGTAGGAAGATATTTTCATAAGGCTAATTCTTAGTTCTTAACTTGTCATGAACTACCTCTATAACTCAGTCGTCATTTTGGAATAATCAGGCAAAGACAAACAGTCTATGTGTAGGAAACCTTTCTCTCCGAGTATATGTAATTTACAGAATATTAAACACAGATATAACATACAAACAGAATAATACACAGAAACAGATCAAGTAGTTTTTCCCTTAACAGATTAATAAATAAATAAAGAACTTACAACTTTCTTGAAAAATCAAACTAAGAACAAATTTGTGATTGAGGCCAGTGTATGGACATTGTGTCTTTAAGACAGAAATTCGTCCTCTCCTAGGTGCTCGAGAATGATGGACGTCCTGCCTCCAGGATTCAACAATCACCCCAAACAAATGCAGCACTGCAACCTTGTTTGTACAGCGAACCAGAATGTTTTATTTTCTGAACTCTCACAAGATGCAAAAATGAAGAATGAATGAAGCAGAGATCGGAGAAGACTGATTACGGAAGGGGAAGGGAAAAAAAACATTAAACATCTTGGAATGGAGGATTGCTATAAATAACGGCAGTGAAGTGCCATTTCCGGAACAGACAAAAACGTTTTGAAGAACAGTCGTGACTGGTCGGAATTTGAGAAGGATCATAACCGAAAATTTTGAATTTATTTGAAACATTTCAAATAATTTTGGAGAAACCCACACCCGCGCCCGCCCCGGCCGGCGGCGGCGCGCGCATGTGGTGATGGTTTTGGGTTTGTCCATAACTCCTCCTCCTACAAAACTTGGGTACCCCTTGGGGCCCAACCCAAGGTCTCCAACTTAGAGCTTATAAACACTTTGAAACTATTCTAAGTTTCCTATGTGGGACAAGGTTTTAGATACCAACTCAAGGGAACCACACAAAACATTTCATGTTTATGAGGCTCACTACGGTATCAATTTCTCATTCACTCGTAAATGGTTTCGACCACCTGAGTATATATTCTTGTTCACCACATGGCAAGGAACGTGTTGCCACTCGGACCCATCCAAATCGAGGTATGGGACCTATATTAATAAAAGCTCAAATTTACCGGAAATTAATGGTGAAATCCATTTCTCTAACACTATGTTTTATCTTCTCCATTTCTTTTCAAACACATTTTTACTCTTAAGAACAGAGTCGGGATTCGAAGTGAGGAGGTCCTTTTTTCCCTGTTGATTCCGAGCCTCTTGCTTTGTTTATTTTTCATGATGATATTAATTGGGTTTGAGCATGCTTAACTTGGTTTCTAATTGTTTCAGGTTTTATCTTCCTCACTTCATGCTCTTAGATGAAATCAGTGAGTTTGTAATCCAATCTACAAATTAATTTCTCTCTTTTCTTTTCAGGTTGATGCATTTGTGAAGATATATCCCGGGGTTTCACATGGGTGGACTGTGAAGTACAATAGTGAGGATGCAGAGGCTGCGAAGCGTGCAGAGGAGGCACACAAGGATATGTTGGATTGGTTTGTCAAGTATATATGTTAGCTGAGAAAATTTCCAAACTATGAAATAATTTGATGTGTTCAGACTATCTTAGTTGCTAATAATGTCTAAGTCATCGCCACCATGTATGGATTAGAGTATACAAACTCTTCTCTTTCAGCTGAAAAAAAGTAAGTTTTTGTTTTGTTTTGTTTTGTTTTATTTTTATGCAAGGAATTTGTTTAGTAGGTTATGAGCTATGAACACTGTGGTTGGGGTTGAGTTCTTGGTTTAGTCCAAGCTGCTATGTTTGGATTCTCTTAAGAAGTTGTGAATGCAAATATGCAATTTATTGGACTACGAATTGAAACACAAACACCCCACCCCCCGCCACGTCCCCCGGCGTTAAAATGAGTTATCCCTTTGCTCCAACCCAACAAAGTAAATCTGGATATCTATAATCTTTTGCAAATCACAGGTATCAATTGTATTTAGAAACGAGTGTTTAAATATTTATAATCGCGTGTAAATTACAAATTGATATCTATAATCCTTTGCAATCCACAGGTCTTAATTGTATTTAGGGAGACACCATCGAGGGTTTAAATATTTATAATAGCTTGTAAATCACAAATATCAATTAAGACATGACAATTGTTGAACTCAAAACGTCTACTGTCGACAAATAGATAGAGTTTAAAATGATACAAAAAACTCAATCCTTTAAAAATTAAATATATTAGAGACTAAATTGATACAATTTAAACACTAGAAATTAAAATGACATAAAACTTATATTTTACAAATAAAAAATATAATTAACCCTTTAAACTATTTATATAAATATAAATAAAAAATATACCAAATACTTTTAGATAATTTTTTTTGTTGTTAGAATTTCTATAGACAACACCAACCATAGATGGCTATCGAGCGGAGAACAAAGCGAAAATCAACTTTTTCTTTCATCCACGTGAACGAATCCACTGACCTTTCTTGCCTTGATCATCTTGTATTCTTCAAATTTTGTCTTCTACCTTAGATTTTTTTTCTTTTTTTGAATAAATTGCATTGATTTTTTTCTAAGTTTTGAAAAAGATGTAATAAGGGAAAAATTAGTAAACTACCTCTCTACCTTTGTGTAATAGGAGAGGTTCAATTTTTTTTTTATTAGCTTAGGTCCGTTGATAAAATTTCTCTGTGAAATAAGATAAATTTTTCTGTGAAAAATAAAATTTCTCTGTGCCGGGGCCGAAATTTGTTTGGCGAAATTTCTCTGAGTTTGGTGAAATTTTTCTAAATCGAATTTTTTCTGTAAAAATATTGAGGGACCTTAACTATTATGAAAATATTATATTTTTTTTATCATATAAAATCTTAATTTCAAAAATCTTAAATTTTTTTCCTATAATAAGTCCCATAATATAATAAAAAATTTTAATTGAATTTTTTATTTTTATGAAAAAAGAATAATGCATTAATTTTCTATCTTCACAAATAATATTTTACATATAAATTGGGCTGGGATAAAATTGATTGGACTCTTTAAAGGAGGTATGCTAATTATTATTTTTAGTAGTCAGTATTATCAGCATATGTTAGTTATTCCAACTCCAACGGATAAATTAGTACAATAGTTATTAACATTTTTAAAAAAACAAATTACATTTAAAAAGTCTTGGGATATTCTTTAAACAGTTTGTCTATAAATGATAAATAAAAAAATTACTATAATATATAGATAAAAAAAAAGGGGATACACCAATAAATCTCAAATTAATAACTTATACACTGTTTAGTCTTAAAAGTTTTCTTATATACTGAAAGGTCCCATTACAATGTTTCAAACATCAGATTAATGTTTCGAATATTAGATTTCGAATATCAAATTAATATTTCGAACATTAGATTTCGAACATCAGATTAATGTTTCAAACATTAGATTGATGTGCAAATGAGACTAAATGGAGCATAAGAAAACTTTTAGGACTAAATGGTTCAACTTTTACCGGCTATAAAATGGATTTTTCAAATTTTTTTTTTTTTAGAGATGCCAAATTTAATGTGGGAGGTCAATAGATGGGGTATATAATAACTTGGGCAAATTACACAAATAGTCCCTATAGTTTGGGACTCATGTCACTTTGGTCCCTGACTTTCAATTGTGACACATTTGACCTTGAATTTCGAATCTTGTTCCAAGTAAGGATAATTAAAAATACCATTGTTTAATTTCAAGGATAAAATCGTCAATTTAATAAAATATAAACTAATTTGATAAAAATAAATGTCAAAAAAATATTTTTAATTTTTTAAAAATTATTTTTATCCACCAATGATAAAATTATGTAAAATTGATAAAAATTAATAAAAATTACATGATTAATATTTTTAAATTAATTTTACATGGTCATCATCTAAACACATAATAAAAATTATGTAAAATTGTGTAAAATTGATAAAAATTGATAAAAATTACATGATTAATTTTTTAAAATTAATTTTACATGGTCATCATCTAAACACATAATAAAAATTAATTTGGAAAAAAAAATAAATATCTAAAAGATTTATCAATTTTACATAATTTTATTTTTAGTAGTAATTTTTAAAAATTTAAAAATATTTGTTTGATATTTATTTTTGTCAAATTAGTTTATATTTTATCAAATTGACGATTTTACCCTTGAAAAATCTAATGATATCTTCGATTTTTCTTATTTGGAATAAGATTCAAAATTCAGGATAAAATGTGTCACAATTAAAAAGTCAAGAACCGAAGTGAAACAAATTCCAAATTATAGGGACTATTAGTATAATTCACCCAAAATTAAAAAACATAATTGAAGTTGCTCTAAGGCTTACTTTGGAAAGTACTGAATAAAATTATTATTTTTATTTATTACAAAAAAATATATAAAATAAATAGATGATAAAACCTAAATAAATTAATCAATTGACTTATAAATCACTTCTCAAAAGAGACCTAAATATATAAAATCAACGAGACACACAACACACACACAAAAAAAATTCAATCATATGCAAACTTGGGAAAATGTTTGAAGGCCCGAAATGCCTGGCTCGAATGCCTCGAATGCCCAAAACGACGTCGTTTTGGGCATTCCGTGTTCTTTTTTTTTTCTTTTTTTCCGCCATTTTCGACCTCTGCAATGTAGAGGAAGAGGGAGAGAAAGAGAGGGAGAGAAAGAGAGAGAGGGGTCGCGTCGCCTGCCCCTCCCGCCGCCGATCGCGTCGGCCACCGTCGATCGCATCTGCCTCGCCTCAGCCCCTCCTCCTCTATTTTTTAGGCCCCCTCCAGTCCTTCCTCTCCCTCCCCTCCCCTCCCCCTCCTTCCCTTCTTCTTCTTCCTCATCCTTCTCAAATTCGAGCCAAATTTGGCTCGAAACCCTTTCGGACTCTGTAGCAGAGCTCTGCAAACTTGTTACCTCAAATTTATATATTGGGAATATGTTTGATTTTTTATGTGTGCCTACATTTTTTGTGTACAAAATTCTTAACTGAATCCAAACCGTCACATGTTTTCTTATGTCAATAATAAGTTATTTTGAAAAATTGGTTAAAAAATAATTTTTTAACTTTCTTTAAAAAAATATATATAAAAAATAAAAAAAATGATATAATTCAAAATAAATTAAAAGTTAAAAAATAATTTTTTATTTTGTTCCAAAAAAATCCAAAACTCCAATTTTTTTTTTTTGGAATATTTAAAAAAAAAAAAAAAAAAATCCGTTTTTTTTGAATTTGTTTTATTTTTAGTAATTTTTTATGTTAATTTTTTTTTATTTTTCGATCTTTTTTATCAAAACGAATCTAAATTATTTTTTTTCAAAAAATTTTTAAAAAAATATTAAAGACGAAAATAAGTTTAAAAATATTACTTATTAGATATTTTTTAAAAAATTATAATTTTTTGGTTCGTTTTGTCAAACTGAATCTAAAAATTAATTTTTCTTTTAAATCGGAAAAAAGTTCACTTTTACGAAAATAAACACAAAAAAAAAAAAAAATTTAAGTTAAGAAAAAAGTCACGTACTTGCTTTCGTCAATAATAACTCGGTTAATGGACTCGTAACTCACTCTCTCTCTCTCTCCAATCTCTATATATAGAGCTCTCTCTCCGATCTCTATATATAGAGCAAGGATCCTCTAGAGTGATTTTTTCTTAAAGTTTCCTAAAGTGCTACAGTGTATGGTTGAGATTTACTGACAAGTCACGTCAATTTTTCTGATGTGACTTGCCAATAAATCTCAACCACACAATATAACGCTCTAAGAAACTTTAGAAAAATTTCACTGTAGAGGATCTTGGTACTATATATATATATATATATATCTCTCTATTCACACAAAGGCGGACACGTACACGATTTCCAGATATCTCTGAATCTCTCCTATTCGTTCTCTCTCTCTCTCTCGCTCTGTTGTCATCATTTGCAGGTATTGTTCATCGCCATGTCAGGTCCTCAGTGCTGCTCGAACGCACCAGCCCTAAACTCGAGCTGTGGAGAAGGGCATGTGGAGGAACTTGCTTGCCTCAAGTGCTATGTCTCTGGCTCCCCTGACTCCAACCTTGCAATCCTTCTCGTTTCCGACGTTTTTGGTACTTACCCAACTCATATTTTGTGTTTTCGTTCAATATGCGATCTGGGTTTTTCTTTATATGATGTTTGTAGGAGTGTTCCTCGGTTAATTTGTTGGGCATTTGATCTTTTGGGTTATATTATTTTTGCATTGATAGGTGTTTTTCTTGAATAGTCATGTTTGTTTTGGTGTACATATATCAATTCATGTTTGTTGGTACCAAAAGAGCTTGCTTAATTTGTGCAATTATGTTTTTTTTTTTTTGTTTGGTAAGTTGATATCCAGCCCATTATGATCTGTCCCAATAAATTGTTTGTGCAATTATGTGTGTGTGTGAAATAAAGAGAAATGGGTATTGTTTGTTTGTTTTGTTTTGTTTTTGTAATTTCTGTTGGCGAATAATTCAGAAAATCACCAGAAATTAAAGTAGTAAAATTACAATAGATATAAAATTTGAGTAATGTTATATAAAAAAAAAAAAAAACTGACACGTAATGATGTTTCCTTCAAAACAAAGCACAGATGGATTTATTTACAATAACGACATTACCACATAATTCTTATATAGTTTTTTTTTTAATGAATTTTATATATATTTAGAATTTTTCATAAAATTTTGGTGACAAACAGATCTGGTTAAGGCACGGAAATCTTGCTTTTTAAAAGAAACTCAAGTCTTGGTAAAGCCCACAAATCAGTGCAGCATCCATTATTTTCTGGCTTGTTCCCTTGAAAATACAACAGTCCCACTGTTAATCATATGAATGTTCAAACATTTTTTTTATTATTATATATATATATTGAAATTTGGATACAGAGTAGTTTTTCCACTTATACTGCCAATCTCCTTTGCACAAAATATTATGATATATATGGAGTAGGAGAAACCGACTCAAAAGGTTTAATGAAGATAAAAAAGACTAATTACTCTTATTCTATTTACTTTACACAAGTTACTCATCATGATCATGACACGTATGAATCGTATGTCTAATTTAAATGAGTGATTTCATTCTGCAGGATTTGATGCTCCGAAATTGAGGTACTGTTAATTCTGCACTCTACTAAAAGCATATCCAACAGCTACAATTGTCTGGAATTTTTCCCTCATATTCACGACTGTACCTTTTTATTTTGCTTCATTATATTATTTTCTTATTTAATTTTGTACATCTTTGTGGTTTGAACTACAACGGTGCCTTTAGATATGTATTTTCTTGCTTGTTGCTGCATATGCTTCTTGAAACTTGCATCACCAGCTTCCCAAATCTACAGGAAACTTGCTGACAAAGTCGCGGCTGCTGGTTTCTATGTTGTGGTTCCTGACTTCTTATATGGAGATCCCTATGCACCTGAAAATGCTGAGAGGCCTTTGCCTGTTTGGATAAAAGATCACGGAACAGTTAGTCATCATATTAATAGTTACCCCTTTAAACTGTTATTGATTTTAATCTAGGATCAAATGTTCATATGAAACTTGGTACCAGTGTTGTGGTTTCCTGGGAACACATTTTTCTTTGACTCCGGCCAGAAATTATGTATCTACTAGGTGCAAATATTCCAGTAGATTCAATTGTGCCACCCATTTATTTCATTGCTAAAAAATAAAAAATAATAAAAAAAGCACTGTATGAAAATGATGAGTGTTTTATTTTTGAAAAATTATTTTTCTCCCAAAAAAGAGAAAACCATATGAAATTATAAGTGCTTTTAAATTATTTTTTTTTCATTTTATTCACCAAACAAAAAAAAAAAAATCCAACGAAGAAGAAAACAGATTCTGAAAACGAAACCAAACAGGGATGTATCTTGGAGTGTTTGACTGGTTCACTCTCTCTCTCTGTTTTTTATTTTTTTAAAACAAAGGTCAAATTGGTTGTTTTCCAAGAATCTAATGGCATTTTAATTAATAAGTAGCGTTGGAATGTGTCTCACATCGTCTGGAGTTGCCCGATCTGTGTTAATTATAAGGTTTCAGTTTCTTTTTCCTTAATACTTGGGTTTTAGGGAGAAGTGTGGGTTGAACTTTTCAATTTGATATCAGAGTTCGGTTGGACTTGTGACTGTTGGGCTTTTCAATTAGTAGAACTAAAACACTATGCCTGAAATACCGTTACTGTTCTTATAGGATAAAGCAGTTGAAGATGCAAAACCAGTGATTGAAGCTCTGAAACTTAAAGGAGTATCCAGTATTGGAGCTGCAGGATTTTGTTGGGGAGGTAAGATGGTTTCTTGACGAATTTGACATGACTAAGTCAATTTCTATTGTGTTCTTTTTCTGCAATCATTTTGAGTATGACCAATAATTCCTAGTGCTCATTTATGCTATGGCTAATATTCATCTTCCTAAATTCTTACCAGCCAAGGTTGTTGTGGAACTAGCAAAGTATCCTTTCATTCAAGCTGGTGTGCTGTTACATCCTTCATTTGTTTCTTTGGAAGACATCCAGGGTATGTATTCCTTAACCAAGCCATTCCCAAAAATCTAGTAGTACTTGAAGTAGATGACTGGTCATTTTGGTAGGAGGTGGAAGTCAATGTTCCTCGAATTTTTCCTTCTAGACATTGTTTGAGTGTGTGCTTATTTATTTATTTATTTTTGTGGGCTTGGGAGGAGGGTAAACTAGAGGGGCAGGTCTTATTTTTGTTTGTTGAAGAAATACTAACAGTTGGCATTATTTTCAGCGGTTAAGGTTCCGATTTCAGTACTGGGAGCTGAGATTGACAGGATGTCTCCACCGGAGCTTGTGAAAAAGTTTGATGAGGCCTTAAATGCCAAACCTGAGGTAGGAAATCCCAAAAAATTCAGCAATTGACATTATAATTGACATGTTTTTGATTTTATGAGTTTTGTTTGTTGGTTTTGTTTGTTATTTTAAATAACTGAGTGCACCAAGAGAAAATAAAAAATAAAAAAAGGAGATTTTTTTGTACGCTACTACACAAACATAGTTTCTTACACTAATGAAAATTCATAAAATCATGGCAGACATTTCTTATTTTTTTTCTGATTATTTCATATAACTTTTGAGGTAAATTATTAGGATCTAGCATAAAATTGATAATAGACTATCATTCCAAGACATTTCATTGGTTAATATTTACATAAATAAAATGTCAACCTCAGTGATTTCTATACTCAAACGAAATGGTATCTTCACATGTTGTATAAAGTTTAAGTCACATTTGTTGGGTGGGTAAGCTTTCCAAATTGATGATTACCTTCCAACTTCATCTGTGATTTTTGCTTCAGTCTAAGCCGCACGGATGCTTCTAAGAAAGTGTTTTGTCCATGTCAAACATCGACACTTGTACACACACGTGTCAAATGAGGGTTTTGGATGCTGAAATTTCGTTTAATTGTTTTTGGTTTATACCTTTGCTTCTCAAGTAGTTATCTTATTATGCTCCACATATACTTCCAGATGTGATCAGTTTTCGAAATCCAATTGAGAAATTTAAATTGTGATCTCTGTCCTTTACAGGTTGATGGCTTTGTGAAGATATTTCCAGGGGTTGAACATGGGTGGACTGTGAGGTACAAAGATGAAGATGCAGGGGCTGTCAAGAGTGCAGGGGAGGCACATAAAGATATGTTGGATTGGTTTGTCAAGTATGTCAAGTAACTTGAGGCATACCTATGGCTTATTTTGGTTTGGTTAAGGCTTAGTTTGGCTTTATTATGAAATGATAAAATAATTTGAGGTGTGGTTGTGTATTGTAATAGAGATGGGTGTGAACCGTATGTGTTGTATTATTTGTATATTTAAGTTTGGATGAGTTTGTATTTTATTTGGTTGTTCAATATATCTTACTTATTAAGAGCATTGTGTCTTATTCACTTGTTTTATTATACTGGATTTGAATAGAGATTTGTGGAGGAAGCATGAAAAATGAAAAAAAAAAGTGGTGGTGACCGGTGGTAGTCATATGGACAAATAAGTGAATAGGTGAATAGATAGACAGATAATTGAGAGACAAATTAATATGATTTTTTAAAATTATTGTTCTTGCGGTCCAAAAAAAGTAGTACTTGAAACAACTATCCTAAAAATTTCAAAAAATTATTGAATCACTATACTTATTTCTGTATTACTAGTGTCAAAATTCAACATATATACAATAAATTTAGAACAAATTACAAATACACCTATGGAAATTTGTTTAAAATATAGATTATTCCTTGTAATTTGAAAAATTACAAATACTCTCTTGTCAAAATTTTTTAGTTAACTGAAAAAATAAAATTTTTAACTGCTCTTTTACACAATAATAAAATTATCTAAATTATTAATTAAAACAAATTTAAAAACTGTTAATTGCAGACTATTTATTATGAAATTAAAAACTTTAAATAGCGGGAAGTAATTTTCAAAATCAGATAGGACAATTCATATATTAAATAAATCTCAAAAATTTATTTGTAATTTACTCATAAATTTAACTCATATACATATACATATACATATACATATACGTAATATAAATAAACCCTAGCTTGCAGAAGAGGGTGAAGAAGGAAAAGAAGAAGAAGAGGAGAAAACAAAAACCAAATCGAATCAAAATCAAACATTTCTAGGGGAAGAATATAAACAATTTAAGAGAATAAAAAAAATAATTGTGCATATAATATTTAAAATTTATTATTATTATTTTTATTTTTATTTTTATTTTTTATGAATGCTTTAAAATTTTAACACTTTTTTTTTTCTAGTTTTATATTCACTCAATTTACATACATTTAAAACACTTCATATTTGAATATAACATTTTATAAAATTACTGAATAATAAGAAATATACAAAAAAATAAAAATAAAAATTAATACAATTTTAATATTTTATGTATTTGTTAAATTTGTTTTTAAGTTCTTCACATTATGTTTAGTGTTTAAGTTTATTTAGATCAGTGTTTAAGTTTATTTAGATCATATACATTTAAAACATGAAAATTGTTTAAGAGTTTTAAAATATTGAGCTCTAATAGTTCTAAAAATACTGTAATCTCAATTGATGTGATGTTTTACTCTTTATTTTTATTTTTTTTTAATATTCAGCACTGCCACCTCATTAGAGTTGGCTCAGTGATCCTTTTTTAGTGGTGACTGTTAAAACATAGTATATGATATAGATAGGTTGGTTTGAGTATCATAGCTAAACACAAGGACAACAATTGAGGCAGGAAGAGCAAACAATATCAAAATCGAAGCCATATCAGAACCCCAATTCCCATCCATACCAGAAGAGATCATCCTTCACATACTCTCAAACCTACCAGTCTCTTCTCTGATTCGATTCAAGTGCGTTTCCAAATCTTGGTGTTCTCTAATCTCCAATCCCAAATTCAATCTTTCAACTACTCAAAAAAGATCTAAGCTTATCGTAGTCCCCGATTTCCATGCCCCGAGTTTTTCAATCAACTTGATAAACAATGATGATGATGAAGTTTCGGCAATGGAAATTCCTAAACCTGAAGCAATTTCACAAGGAAACTTACCTCGTTCCAAGATGAGAATCAGGGGTTCGTGTAATGGCTTGTTGCTCGTAAATGTTCACGAGGACTTGTTCATGTGGAATCCATCAACTAGGTCCTGCAACAGAGTCTTTTCTCATTTTCTTTTGATCCGAAAACACCCTATTTTCCAGATTGTATCTGGACTTTGCTATGACTCCTCCACTGATGATTACAAAGCATTAATGGCGATTAGAGGTGTCATCTGATCACAGCCTCCTAATTCTCGCATGGAGGTCATGGTTGGAAGTCTTAGAAACAAAACTTGGACAGAGATTAATTTCCCTCGTACTAAATTTGGAATCGAGTCAGGGCCTGTGGTGAATGATCGTCTGCATTGGTTGGTAACTGATACAAGTTATTCCCATTTGATTTTGTATTTTGATCCCCAGACCAATGAATTTGTGGAGGTGCCAATGCCACCACAGCTGAATGAATGGAAACAAATTACTATAGTTGGTTTGGGAGTTTTGAATGGATGCCTTTCTATGGCTGGCTATCCACAGGAACAAAGGAACGCTTGGTAATGTCGATCTTGAAGTATTAGTAATGCCCAAATATGGTGACAACAACAACCCATCTTGGTTAAGTTTGTTTAATGTAACTAATCTTATTGGATTTGAGTTACGTAACTACTACTGGGTACCATTGCGTTATGCCAAGAACGGGGATGTGGTATTGTACTCAGAGGGAGCTGATACAATTTTGTGGCGCAATCTTGAACAAAATGGTGCAACTTATGTTAGAAATAATACCATGGCTGCTACGTTTGTTGAAAGTTTGGCTTCACCCTCTAGCTACAACTGGGAAGAGGAAGAGTACATGCAAATTTTCCTTTCAGGGATGACAAGGAAGACTAAGTGCAGGAAAGGACAAAGAAAACGGACTGGATTTTGTCATGAATATAGTATATATCAATAGCATTTACGGTAATTCTTAGTTGGAACAGGAGTGGAGGATTTGATTGGAAATTAGGATTGTCAAATTTCTGTGGAATTTTTTTTTTTTACATCTTTAATTTTATTAAATGCTTGTGTTGCTTCAAACTATGATGTTATTTCCTGAAAATAGAGTGACATTTTGCTAGTTACTTTGAGTTTTATATGCTTTAATTTTTGCACAGTAAGGGAGAAACTGGATGAAACTATCATAAGCACTGTGATTTAGGAATTGAAGGTAATCAAAACAATCCTATGGTTTTTATTTTTGAGTGGAAGACAATTTTTGTGCCTGTTGAACACTTGAAGGTGGCTAAATATTCAGTAACCCAAACAAATTTTCCATACTCTAATAGACACGGACAGAATATAAGAAATTCTATTTTAGATATCTACTAAAATTTGGAACGTTACACTTCAGATTAATGATGTGGTCACCATTGCACCATTGTTTATGCAGCTGTGGTTGCCATTAACAATTACATTTTGAATTTTGTTTCTGTTATGTTTTATTAATTTGATGTGTGTCGTTTGCTATTATTTTGATATTGAGAAATGAACAACTGAACAACCTTTGTCAATAATGAACCAAAACTCTTGGATCCTCATTGATTAGATGCATAGCTGCTCTGCTCTTTTATTGTGGAACTGGGATTATGAAAAAGTTTAGGTTATTGATGCCTTGGCACTTGCTTTAATTTGTAGTAGCTATCTCAAGCACTTCAAACATCTGCAGAGTTAATTTCCTCTTCTTCCCATCAAATTGGAGTATGAGCAAGTTCTTTGAATTCTTAGTACTTTTCCATAGGAAGTTCTTGCAGATTTTTAGAACGGAAGTGCCTTGTCCATTCTGCCATGCGTGCTGATAGACTTGTAGTTGTTGGTTCAAATGTCAGTTTGTTTAAATTGGATTTTGCTACAAAGTAGCATAGCCCAAATCTTTGGGTTAGGTTGTGGTTGAATCTTGGATTTGTGAAGGAGAAGAAAAGGCAAGCAAAAAATGAAAAAAAATTCATTCTCTTTCTCTTACCTTTTTCTTTCCTTCCATATCCAAACACAGCCTTGGAGTCAATAAAATGATGGATCATGTTTGCAATTGTTCAACCCAAAAATAGACCATGCTTTGTTGTTATATGAGTTGCTGTTGTTGCAGAGCTCAAAACAGATTGTCAGCAGCAGAGTTTTCAAATTAAAAACATTATGTATAATGTTTTACAAATATCCAAAGCGCTTTAGTGTCCCAAGTTTTCAGCATCCATTTGATTTTGATAAGATTCCAACAAGATATAAAAGAGAATTTGGCTTTTGAATTAGTTTTGTCATCCTTGTTGGATAAACAGATTTGCAATTCAGCAATAGAGTCAAGAACAACTCGAGGAAGAAGATGAGGAACTCCATTTACCAAGCGGTTTCGTACAATAGAAGAAATTTCAAATAGAAGGATCAGAACTCATTGATAGGAAAGGACAGAAAAACAAAGCAACACCAAAAGCTCTGTCAAACAGTACTCCTCCTCCTTTTGTAAAATGTGATTACTAATGAATTTTTAATATAAAGCCAGGCTAAACTTTTTGAAAATCATTAGATGAGTCATTAAATTTAAAAAAACAACTGAGCTTTCCAAAATTTCAAAGGTGCCAAATTGAGTATAGGGTACAAAAAAATTTCTAATGCAGTTTAGAGAATAATAACTCACATATAAAAGTGATTTTGACAAGCTTATTAGAGATGTTGCCAATAAACATAATTGTACAGAGGCCCCTGTGAAGTTGGCTGTGGAAGAGGTGGTACATGTTGGAAGTAGAAAATCATATTTCAATTCTTTTCCTCCTCTTTATTTCCAATTGATTTATCAGCATATTGCACTGTCATTGTGATGTTGCAATGATTTTCAAAAACAAAAATGTTGTGTTTTGCATATTTCATGTTTAATAAATTTGATTTGGTTGAATGAGAAGTCACTATATCCTTTTGGTAAGTAAGTTAAATGATTTATGAGGGCCCTTAACTTGAAAGCAAAACTACACAGCCTAAAGTAAACTACACGGCCAAAAAAGTGTGCTGTGCATATACACTGTTTTGGCTGGAACCAAAGCGGAGGAACGAAACTGTGGCTATATTTAGATTGGAGGCAACAAAACTGGGGATGATTTTCCGTGACAAGTTGGATCGATTGATCAAATTTACCAGAAAATTGTGGGTTTGAACAAAAGAAAAAAGTCTTTCACAGGGTAAGAAAAGGAAAGGAAAGCTTTTAGATTTGTTATTCTGCATATTATTTTCACCAGCTGATTAGTTCTTTCAAAATGGGAACCCTATTTAAAGATTAAAAAAAAGTGCGATGAGTGAACAAAATCGAACTCTTATGAAGAA